GGGGGGTCCCCTGCCCAGTCCTGACGCCGGGGCCAGAGGTATCAGGCCTGGGCTGGGGGCAGAACCAGTGATGGGGAAAAATGAGGGTCCCCTGCCCAGGCCTGACACCTCTGGCAGAGGCATCAGGCCTGGGCACGGGGCCAATCCTGCAATTGGAGGGTGATGGGGGTCAACGCCTAAGGGCTCCTAGTATGTGAGAGGGGGCAGGCTGGGCTGAGGGACACTCCCCCCCGCCCCCACTGCACGAATTTCATTCACCGGGCCCCTAGTATAATATAATATAAATTACTTGAGCCCATTGTATGAATTCATGCATGGGTGGGGTCTGGCAGGCCCACCCCGATCATGGCCAATGGGGGCTAGCCAGTTGGGGAGAAGGGCTGCGACAGTTTGGCCAGCTGGCCCCACCCCAGATTAGGGCGGGGGTGCCAATCGGGGGCCAGGATGGATGCAGGGAGGGGCTGCAGGAGGTTGGCCAGCCAGCCCCGCCCCCATTGGGCCAGTTGGCTGGCCGCAGTGCGCATCATAGTGACTGGTCGTTCTGGTCGCTTGGCTTTTATATATATAGATAATATATATTGTAACAAAGTAGAAAAAAATGACACTAAAAATTGGAGAAGGGAAAGGGGTAGGAAAATAAGCTCTTAGTGTAAATGATAGGTAGCATTCAGAGGATGCTATTAATAACGGACGCTAAACCAGATTATAAAGTGTCAAGAAATGCAATAGTAGCTGTCTGTTGTGAATGAATCAAAATTATGCTTATTTTGGGTCAGATTGGCAAAAAATACATTATTTGGCGTGATGCAGAATTTTAGTATTTAGTTTATGTGTGCCATGAGATGAAAAAGGTTGAAAATCACTGCTCTAGGTCAAAGCTTCTAGATTGCTTAATAACAGATCTTACTAAGAACCCTAAATGACCACACCAGTATCCAGAACTCACTGTATAAGATGAACATCAAGATTGCATAAATCCAGTACCTTAACATAAGGCACTGCAGCTCTGATTATGTAACTATGTACTCTATTATAAAAGGGCTCTTTAGAACGTTCTTCTACAATAGCTATTGTTTAAGAGGCAACATTCAGAGAACACTAAAGAGAGGAATGCAAAACAAATTGTTATTCATCGAAGGAGCTTTGACTCGAACTGGGTGCTAGTTGTCCTATGCCAATTCCACTTGAGTAGCTGTTCTCTGTCCTTTTAAATTTTCCTTTACAATCACTGAAGTCCTACACAGTGATTAATGATCTCGGGTGTCACATGAGTAATTCTGGATAATAAACTGTATGCACTAGGAAAAATTGTTCTCTAAGCAGAGAAGGGAGGACATATTATTCCAGCTAGAAAAATAATATATGCAAATAATATATGTTGTGAGGCAACACAGCGTGTAGAGATTTTCCTGTATTAAATCTCTTTCTGCTTAAAATATCCAGAATGATTTCTGTTTGCTGTAGCACGTGTAGGAGAGCATTTCTTGGTATGGGGCAGCCACCTCTACTAAGCTGTTATATTCATTACTCACTGAATATCTGACAATTTAATCTTTGAAGAAATTAGCTGTCAGATTGAAACCTGTGTAGGTCTGTAGATGAAATGTCAAAATATATCTAGGAAATATGCTTAAACTTTGGAAAAGAAATATCATTAGACCTTTACTTTATATGACTCATCAAAACAAAATACCCAGTGCATGACAAATAAAATGTTAAAAGTTGAATGCATAAACATGTGCACTCAGAGATGGGAGAATCTATCTATCTAATCTATCTGTCATCTATCTATCATCTATCTAAAAGGCTAAGTGACCGACAGACAAACCGATCAACCGGCTGGTACCTATGACACCCACTGGCAATTTAAAAATAAATGTTGACTCGCACATGCGCGATACATACAGTTTATTACCCAGAATTACTCTTGCTGGTGCCAACACCAATTGCACGCATGTGTTTTGCCCTGTCATTGTCAATTGTGAATTTGGTTGTTTTTGAAGCTGAAAGAAAGTGACAGCATCGACAGAATATGTCTGAAGACCAGCTCTTGGCACAACATACCTCAAACGTCCGGACTATCTTTTATTAACGAATACAAAACATGATGAATCGTATGAGTGACAACAGGCAGAGGTTTTGATCAATTCTCTGAACGATGAACAGTTGGCAGCCTTTCAGACTATAACTTCAGCCATCGAAGATAAAACTATAAACCCCAAATGCTTTTTCTTGGATGGTCCAGGTGGTAGTGGAAAAACATATTTGTATAAAGTTTAATACATCGGCCACAGTACAAACGAGTTTAAAGTACTGCAATGTTTGGGGATGTTTCAGAAAGTTGTCTCTTAACAACAAATATGAGATCAGAGGATTCTGCTTATAGTGGATGGTTAGTAAAACTTGGAGATGGCAAACTTGATAACAGTTTTCATTTAGGAATGGATATTATTTAAATTCCCCGTGAAATGATTTGTAACAGATCTATTATTGAAGCTACCTTTAGAAATAGTATATCTATAGATAATATAAAAATATATCTAATATGTGATTCTTTGCCTTCAAAATGAGCATGTTCATAAATTAAATGAAGAAATTTTTGATATACTTGATGGAGATTTTCACACTTATTTGAGTGATGATTTCATTGATTCAATGGATGATGTAGAAAAGGAAAATTTTACCATCGAATTTCTTTTTTTTTTTTTTTAAATATATTTTGTTGATTTTCCACAGAGAGGAAAGGAGAGAGACAGAGAGCTAGAAACATCGATGAGAGAGAAACACCGATCAGCCGCCTCCTGCACGCCCCCACTGGGGATGCGCCCGCAACCCAGGCACATGCCCCCGACCGGAATCGAACCCGGGACCCCTCAGTCCACAGACCGACGCTGTATCCCCTGAGCCAAACCGGTTTCGGCCATCGAATTTCTTAATAGTATTACTCCTTCGGGAATGCCATGTCATAAAATTGAAAGTAGGTGTAATCATCATGCCACGGAGAAATCTTAATAGTAAATGAGGTCTTTGTAATGGTACTAGATTTATTATCAAAAGATTGTGACCTAACATAATCGAAGCTGAAGTATTAACAGGTTCTACAGAAGAAGAGGTTTTGATTCCAAGAATTGATTTGTCCCCGTCTGACATTGGCCTCCCATTTAAATTAATTTGACGACAGTTTCCCGTGATGCCAGCATTTGTGATGACTATTAATAAATCACAAGGACAGAGTAGGCATATTCCTACCTAAACCTGTTTTCGGATATGGTTAGTTATATGTTGCTTTCTCTTGAGTTTGAAGAGCATGTGACGTTAAAGTTGTAAATACTTCATCACAAGGGAAATTATTCAAGCACTCTGAAAGTGTTTTTACTCTTAATGTGGTATACAGGTAGATATTAGAATAAGTTTAATTAATTTATCAGTCATTGTTTTTATCAATGTTTTTATATCATGTTTTTGTTTTTATATTATGTTTTATATTATATCTTTGTTGTTATGTTATTGTTTATTAGTTGATTTATATATTATTTTCATATACATTTTACTAATTTTCATCTCTGACACTTCTATTATAGAGGAAGAACAAATAGCGATATTAAAATATTTCTTCTAATTAGTTTACTTTTAATTTGCATGAATCCATGTACCTGGCCGCTAGTAATGATAATAAAATGAATCTCAAATCATCACAGTGCTATCGGAATCAGCCACAAGTAACTTCATCTTCTCAGCCATCTCCTTAAATCTTCCTGCTCTGCAATGAGCAGAGACCCCATGGGTAGTCTAAGCTCAGGTCAGGAGGAAATGTTATGCATTGTGCTTGTTTTGATTTGAGGTATATGGGAAGGAGAAAACAAGAAGCACAGCCTCTTCACCTAGATTTGTCAAAATTGGTGCAGGGGAATGTGCACAGTGGCCACTTGCTCCAAGCTGCTGTTTTTCAGATTCCCTTTTCAGGTGCAGTCAATGTTGTCTCTCCAACAAAAATAATGACTGTTCCAGCTGTATCTTTCTATAAGAGTTTCTGTAATAACCTGAGTTATTCTGAAGGGGGAAACATCCTCTAGTTTATGAGGGAAAAAATCAAAGCCTGCAATAATCAGCAATTTGGCTTAGTAAAGATTGTTATTTTAAAAACAAAAGTTTCAAATGTGTCTGCTTGATTCCTTTATTTATTTATTTTTTTGAGGGGCAAAAGGTAATCCTGTCCTCATTGTTTTAAAATAATAAAAAGGACCTTAAACTATTATGTATTAAGTAAAGTAAAAGGGATAAGGGAAAGAAACTGAAAGGTCACTTTATATAGGGAGGAGGGGGACGTTTGAGAAGATAATTGAATAAGGTGGTACTGAGATCCAGTGCCTGATCTAGCAAAAACATAAAGGCACAACCATTTCAACTCAATGAAGGATAATACGGAGGACCCATTTTAGCATCCGAGTTTGCCATGGGGTTGGCTGAGGCTAGCAGGCCTGCATCACAGATCAGCTTCTCCCTGCTACCTTTTCCTCCCTTCCATAGGTATCCATCCCAAGGGCACTCAGGCCCAGCAGAGGGAGCTGCAAGCTGTGGATTGCTGACAGCTGCAAACAGGTTGCCAAGGTACAGTCACAAATAGCATCTGACAGTGGCCAGTATCAGAGTCTCTCCAAAAAGACACATATACCCAGTGCCCAGCCTCTAGCAACAACAGAGCAGTATCTAATAAGCTTCACAAGCAGCGTATCCACAGAGAGATCTCGGCAGGCACCAAACCCTGCTGAGGCGAATTCCACTTCGTGTGATCAGTACCTGCGAAGCACCTTGCATCTGTGTTGAGGATTGACCTCACTGTTCACCTGTTCCTCACATGGGATGTCTTTTCATTTTGTTGAAATTTAAACAATTTGAACGGCTATAATTCAACCAAGGATTCCCTGCTTAATACACAAACCCATCTGAGAGATCTGCGCATTGAAACATAGGAAGATGGGCAGGTGGGAGCAAATGGGGAGGTGGGACAGAAGAGCTGAGATGGTGCTGGAGACACACAACCCAGAGCTCACAGACTTCATTGTAGGTCTCAGCCTGGAAAGGTTGCACAGGCACTCCTTTCAGCTGGGAGAAGCAAAGAGAGACAGCATTCCTGAAGGAGTGGCCAGTAGGCTCCGCAGCCGAGCCCAGTGACCTGGCAATCAGCATTCTAAATAGAGAAACAAAGCCATGGAGTCTGGCTGCCTCCCTCCCCCTCCCAGAGTTTACTTCCCTCACCCTTTCCAGCTAGCAGCAGGCCCCAGAAGAAGCTGTGGCAGGGAGTGTCGGGTTGCTGAGCACATTATCTGCAACCCAAGAACTGGTACCACAGAAACAGTGTTTTTTCCTGAGCTACAGGCCCAGTCCATAACTAATCCCAGGGTCAGGTGGAAACACAGAGGGGAGGCTGCAAAGATCTGCCAGTCACTATTTCTGAGAGAGCAAAGCAATGAAGGCAGCGGCCAGCTTCCCCCAGCTCACCCCACTCCCAAACATTGCAGCCACACCACCAGCAGTATCTACATGCAGGGGACAGCACTGGGATTCCAAGGATTTGGAAGCCCATCACCCAACTCTGAGGTCTTCATGATGGAGAACACATAAGGCTTTAAGCTGCTAAGCAATCAATGGAATAGAAAGCCCTTCATATGAAAAGGCATACAAAACGTGCACATTTTGAGCTGCTACTTCTTGTGATGGTCTCATTGCTGTGACAGACTCTGAAGGAAGCACAACAAAGCAAAACCATCAGTGCCTAAAAGCAGCACCAAAGCACGTCTCTCTTGTCCTCCTGCAGGCCACCGGCCACATGGCTTGAACCAGTGTGTGCATCCCTTGAAACACAATGCAAAATTAAAATCATACTACTTGCAGGACATAGAGCGCATCTAGCTAATGTCCATTTATTTTATGTTAAAAGAAACCGAGAACTAGAGAGAGTAGGTAACTTGCTCGAGGTCACAGAGCTAGTTCATGAAACACGTGGGATTGCAATACCAGAACAATGGTCCATTTTATATTGGGCTTTTTGTTATTTTGTAATTAAAAAAAATAGAATATGTGTCCACAAAGCAAGAAATCACATGTAATATGCTTACCTTTATTTTTGAGGCATTAATTATATCATTAAAATGAAGAGTAATGTACAAATATGGTAGAGGCAGGCAGTAGAACAAGCCTTTCACATAATCTTCCCGATCAGAGAAAGAAATAAAGGCTATATGTTTTTAGTGAAAACGTATAGATTTGGTTATTTCATAGGAAAATGCGATTTTTTTTCAAAGCACTAACAGCGAAAAGAACCTTAAAAGTATAATTCCTTTTGCTTCTGTGGATGGATTGGTACCACATGTCCTTGATCAGATATGAGTGCTGTTTCTGCAGGCTCCTCCATTGTTCTGCCCAAGCTGAGGATAATGGGCAATTCTCCAAAGATTAGGCATTTCGGTTCAAATGGAAAGCTGTTCAGCAATTCAATAGTTTCACCTCAGTAAGTGGACTGAAGTGTTGGAAAGGACAACTTTTCTAACAAAGTGTCTAGCGCTGTTTCCTTCTGCCAGTAGCACAGTCATGGCCCCTGGGGTGGTAGGTAAGTTTTCCTCTCACTTCTGCTTTGCAGAAGTGGCTCAAAAGCCATGGGGCTCTGTACCACTAGGTGCCACATTTTCTGTGACAAACAGGCTATTTTTCTTCCAGTGACCAAAGATCGAATTTTAAAAAATTGAATTCATGTCATTCTGACCCTAAAATCTTTGAATTTTATTAAACTTTGAGTCTCCTTTAAAAGAATGAGATCATTAAACAAAACAGGAATTTTAGCACCTTCACACTGTACCTTAGATGTATTTATTAATATCTTTAGAAATATTTTATTGGAATTTAGGTGGGAGTTTCATGTTCTGAATCCTTTTTTCTACCCCAAATCATTTCTATATTTAAAAGATTTTAAATGCATACTGTCTCTAAAGAAGGGCAAGCACATAGATTATATATTTTTAAGATAACAGGTTTGTTGAAATAAAAGTCATTTTTTGAGTGTGCAATTCAAGGGTTTTAGAATATTCACAAAGTTGCATATCCATCATCACCTTCTAATTCAAGAACATTCTCATCACACTGAAAAGAAATGCTGTACCTATTACCAGTCACTCCCCATGCCTTCCTCTCTCCAGCCCCTGGCCACTGCTAGTCTACTTTCTGTCTTTATATTTTTGCTTGTTCTGGACATTTTATATAAATGGAATCATAGCATATGTGACCATCTGTGTGTGGTTTCTTTCACTAGCATATGTTTTCAAGGTTTATCTATGTAGCATGTGTAAAAACTTCTTTTCTTTTTATAACAGATTAATATTCTATTATATAAATATGATACATAAATATGACCATTTGGTTTATCCGTTTGTCAGTTGAGTGTTTTCTACTTTTTGGCTGCTAAAAATAATGTTGCTATAAACATCATATACAAGTTTTTGTGGACATAGGTTATCAATTCTCCACCTAGGATTGAATTGCTTTTTAATGGTATTAGGTCATCTTTAGTGTAATTGGGTTTGTAACTAACTAAAATTTGGTTGCAGGTACATTATTTCTAAAAGGGACATATGCGCTTTTATTTCTTACTAGAAGCCCAGCGTGGGAAATCATGTG